TTATAGACATTTCAAATTTACTTTAATTATTGTCAATATTATTAATATCTATATTACAGTATGGCATAATAAATGGCTAATATATTTCTTAACTAAAGATGCATACATCAATACATCTTTCATTTTAATGTCAGAATATAGTAATTTTTTCACGAATATCAAGAGCCCAAACATGTAGATTTTGAATATCATATAGTTTACCTATTTTATATGACCGATCGTGTTGCACTGCTAAAAACATAGTTTCATAAAACTATAACTAAGTACAAATGGTACAAGTAGTTTTGTTTTGCCAACTCTGAGGAGTTGACTGTGCCACAAGGTCGAAGATATATATTATTGGCAAACACGCAGAACTTGCTATAGCCTGCGGGTGATACCAATGGACAAAGATGGCACTAATATCCTTGACATTCCTGTACACATATATTTACTCGCATTTTAAAAAAAAAACACAATTTTACTGTATTACCGACTGCCCCGTGCGAGTTATGTAATCAGTCTATATATAAACTAATATTACCTATTTAAAATAGTTAATGGGTAATCACAGTAAGGATTACTATACGATACATCATATAAAGTGATTTATAACTACGAAATTAATTCATAAGCTATTAGATCATTACATTATTTATTCATTTTTGTAGCAACTGCAATAATTTACCTAATATTTTCAACTTTATTTTAAATTAATTATAATATTCTGCTCTATGTGTACAATAAACTATAGGTTATGATGTACTAATTAGGATATATCCATAATTATGTGACATGGGTATACTTCAATTAAAAATTTACTTGTAGTTAATGATATAATTAATATTATTCAAATTACTAAATAATTATTATACTCTAATTTAGTGATTTGACCTAGTGATCAATAATATCTCTACTATGGAATAAACTTATAATAACTTGAGTAATATTTATTACCTATCTATAAAATAATAATAAAAATTATAATACAATTATAACTTATCACTTTCTAAGAAATCTAAAAATTGAATTGGATTATATATATAGGTATAATATTAAAGTGCCCAATTTTTTATTTTTTATTTTATGATGAGTACAATGAAATCTTATCATTTTGATAATTACTAATAATAACACAAACAGCGACATATTATAATAAGTAATAATTCAAATTTAACTAAAATAATTAAAAGTATCGTTTTAAATTTTTGGTTACTCCTTAATGATCAACACAGTCAAATCTGAAGATTTTTAGACCTTTTTTTTCTTATCAAAAAATTGTTATTTTACAACAAAAACATTAAAAATTCATGATAAATATATTTTTTTATTACACCAATCTAACTTCTAAAATAACTTTGTAAATATTTAAGCCCACATCTGGAATACTATAAAATGAAGTAGGTACACCATTATGACGTTTTGAGTGTACACAGTTGACATAGTTTTAATTGTTTTCCGCATCATTTCTTGTCATATTTTAATATTTTATAAAGGTACAAGATTATATAGTTAACTAGTATTTTGTTTCGAAAGTCACGTATACTTGGGCGGTTTACAATTTTTATCGCAAAACGTGCAATAACAATATACGATATACCTAATTAAACTGGGAAGGTAAAGCTGTTATGGATAAGGGAAATCAATAATATACCTAATAATAATTAACTGCTTATTTTACATACATGATAATATGTATATTTTATAAGAATATTATAATAATGCTACATATCTAGTATAATATAACTGTACTTAGAAGATACATTTTAAGACACTTGTTGAGAAATATTAAGCACACCAAAAATATATGGCAAATTTAATATCTTTATTTTAATTATTCCAATTATTTTATTTTATAAAATCGAAATCAATATTTTTTACCAACCTATATTTATAATAAAAAATAAAACTTATTAAAAACTCTACCTGCTAGCAGCTGCAACATCGAAAGAGGTTGTGCCTTTGACAATTAAATCATGATATGCTATTCAAGGATTTATATTAGAACATATTTTAATAATAAATAATTTACCGTTAACAAGATATTATAATATTATGATTTATGCATAGAAACTTGAGGAAATTCTAGACTCTAGTTAATCTCTATCAAAATAATGTATGTAGTTATGTAGGTACCTACTAATGATTTGTTATAAAAATTGAGTACAGTGCTATAAATTTATGATCTTTAAATAAAGCAATTTATAAACCTAAAATAAATTAATAGTTAGTAATAAAAAAAAAAATAAGCCACAAAAAAATACAAATCAATTTTTTACTAGTAATGCCATCTATCATTAATTAATTTTTAATTCGTAATAAAATAAGTTTAAGTTAAATTAAGTTTAACTTTTGGATGACACGACACGGCACAATATACGGCGTAATTATGAACCTGGTTTTAAGTTATATAGGTACAGCTGGCTATAGATTGCTTATATTCTAGTATACCATAATATGTAAGTATGTAACACATGTTTAGTATTTCAGCACTAATATTTTTTTATTTATTATAATTTATAACTTTTGTGAATTAAAAAAAAAAAATCTTCGATAAAAAATTATTTATGATTCAATTACAATAGCTTTTTGTTTATTTGATCTATTTTTTAAAAATTTAGTTACGTAATTTTAAATTATATATATACACACTCTACTTGGATTGTGAACAAGACGAAACGATAGATGCTGAAAAAAAATGACCAGTAATACCTACAGTTTTCCTAGGACCAGCCGATAGAAAAAAGGTGATTATTCTTTCGCGAGTTTCATAAACAAAATATCATTAGAGCAATCATTATCAAATTTAAAAGCAAAAATATTATCTAAGTTTGAAGGTTGAATTTTTACGATATTTTCATTTTTAGGCAAGTGCTGAGTATTTTTAAATTGTAGAACATTATATTTTTATTTATCCCACGTATAGTAAACAATATAATATGTATAGTGTATTTTATATTAAATTCATTACCCACTTTCACCCTAAAATAATATTTGGGCCCTGGGAGTGCCACACAATATATTACTCGCATTTATAAGGTAGATTAATAATATTTTAAAAGTTTAATGTGACGGATTCAGTGCCCGGTAGACGTTAGGCGTTTAAACATCCCTAATGTGCTTCTAAAATTACGTACCTACAATAAAATACAGTAATACGAAAAATACCATTCAGCATGCAACTGAAACGACTGACGACTTCTTATACTTAATCCATAAATTCGAAAGATAAAATTACACCAATAGAGGTCATTAAAGAACTGGTAAAAAATAAAAGATATATACCTTTTTGATTTAATCAAAAAATACTAAAAGATGCAAAAAAAAAAAAAATTACTTTAAAATAATCAGTATCACCCAAAACACATTTTATACATACGAACTAATGTTTCGAAACATCAGAAAAAAGATGCCTTTGTATCAAAATTCCAGCTCTAAAAATAAATTTTATCATATGATTTTTAAAAATTTTAACCCCCTCCTCCCCAAAAATTTTTTTTATTAAAAACACGCCACTACATCACGTTATACTCAGCATACAGTATTGAAGAAAAACAATAGTAAATAAAGGGGAAGAAACAAAAATTATCAACATAGCTCAAAAAACCGGGAGTAACGGTAACGATGATAAAAACTAGTGTGGTGTTACCGTACACACGCGCAAGAAGGGTGATAAATATTAAATATATTACATACTTTAAAATAGTTACATTAAATTATATATACAGTGGAACCTCGATAACTCGAATCGGTTGGGGACGAAAAAAAAATTCGAGTTATCGAAAATTCGACTTACAGAGGTTACACATATGATATGTTATAAAGTAGGGGCCAAGACATTCTTTCGAGTTATCGAAAATTCGACTTATAGAAGTTCGAGTTATCGAGGTTCCACTGTATGATGATGAAACGGACAAGTGGCGGTGGTAATAAATGTAGGAGAAATAAGGAATGGAAGGAGGATGAGGCGAGAAAGGGGAAGAGAATAAAGCTGATATCGACATGGCGTGCGATATATTATATCATGAGAGTGTGGGAGGGAAGCCCGGGTTAGGTAGAGCCGTTGATGCGTCACGACCTTCCGCAACGTCAACGGCGTTGTGCTCAGACTTTTAAATCGGAAAAAAACACTGACGATGATCCGTCTCGCACATCTTCGAGCACACGCGAGCAAGGCACCAACAAAAAGGTTTCGTGACCAAACAAACGGTTGAACTATTACAATTTGTGTACGGTTATTTATTAATGTATCTTAAATGCACGGCATGCACGCGCCGATTAAAGGATACACGAAACTCGAGCTTGTATTCCCTCCCGGTCTTATATTGAGTTGTGAACCGACTAAACCGGCATAATATTGTGCATATTATACTTATAATCATGTAATGATAATACAACACCATACATTTTTAACTGCAATATTAAACGTGTAAACGAGAGCGCCGAACGATACGTCACTCGAGTATGATCATATTATTATCAATAACAATAATTATAAGACGTATTCCACAACGCACCTACTAACACCCCGTTAAACCGTTCGTGTTGTGTAGACGCTTTTAAAGTGCAACCGTTGTGTCACTGGTGTCGGTGCGCCGACACATAAGGTCGTTGCGTGTACGCCGCCCACTAGTGTAGTGGGCACTGGGTACAGCTGCCGCCGAATATCGATTGACGACTACTGAGACCGATAATAATAATCATTAACATCGATTCACGCTGATGGGACCGGAATTTAAATCATAATTCATCATTACTGTTGTCGTTGCGATTATTATTATTATTGTTTTACATAATACACACGTCCCACTCGCCTCCCCGCGTAATTAACGCACCCGACGCGCGCCACCGCCGAAACGTTTCACTACGCGTCGAAAATGCAAAATAACATCAAATGCGAGCGGAATATCATTAATATTGTATCGATTCAATCTCACGACGAGTAATGGACACTGATGAATGATGATGGTGGTAGTAATAAAATATTAAATTGTATGTGGTCTAAGGTTTTCAATACTCACACGGCTACGATCCAAAGTTCTCTGGCGACGTGTTTTTGTTGCGATGCGTTTGCGTGTTACGTGCTGCCATCTACGCGCCACTCGAGCGCATTCACGTCAATTTATAAGGATAATACAACTAATTACAGTAATAATGCAATAACAATTAGTTGCTATGTCGTCTCCAACAGTCAGCACCGTCGTCGTAGCCGTTCGATCTGAAACACAAGAACGCCCCGCCGCTCTATTATTAATCAAAATAAAGCCGATAAGTACTGTAATAGTAATAAACATTAATCATTATACAATATACATTCGATTTGGCGAACTGTGAACAATGTACGATTAAAACGTAATGTTTTTATGACATGTTACAATCTGTAACCACTAATTAACTCATATCAACTTAATATAATATAGCGCACAATACTATTAATACTAATATTGTAGAAAAAACTATAAATTCAGTATAATTATTTTATCATTGTATCTTATTAGTTATTAGTTATTACCAATATTACCCCAATATACGGTTATACGGGTAGGTGTAATTATTATCGATTTTACTTTAAACTTTTTTTTTTATAATAGAACACGTTATAATATAAATTATAGAGCTATTGTGTATATTGTAGTTGTTTTTACAAATATTATTTCACATTGAAGTTGGAATGTTAATTAAAAATTATTTGATTCATTAAAACAATATTGGAAGGTAAAATGCATGAAGACTATTATTTATTGGGTATTTGATGAGGGATCAATTTAGTCCGGCCCACCGCATTATTGAAAAATACCTCGAAAAAAAAAAACATCATCGGTAGCTTGTTAATAGTTTGCGTAACAATTTAACAGTGCATTATAAATCCATAATGTAGAAATTAATTGTATTATCTTAGACTATGACCTATCACTCATTCTTCAAGAGGTAAGATTCCGTATTTATTCATAATATAATATTATAATAATATAGGTAACCTATGTCATATTAATTGGGATTTTGAAATTGTAATTTATGCTTTGATAAATTACTATAATAAATTGAATAATTTAACATTTTCACTGTTTATAATTAATTTTATTTAATCATCTAGGTAATCTAGGAACGTATAATTATATTATTCATGATATCATTTAAAATTTATTTACAAAAAAAGTCTACATACTACAAATGTTATTTGTTTATTATAAACAATGCAGTTAAACTTTTATTTGAATTTTTATTGATATTTAATTCAGAATGAATATTATATTAATAATTAATGCAATAAGACATTATTTATTTTATAACATATATAGCATTTGTTCATGACATAGCATGCATCACGGGTAAATTTAATAAAAATTAAAAATTAATACAACCTCAATGTTACCTACTTATAAGATAAAGATGTGCATAAATTCATAATTTTTCCTCTTCATAAATTTTTGATAGATTATGATCAAAAAATTGCATTATTTACACAAAGAATGATTTAATTTCTATATTATGCATAGTTTAATTACTACTCCAGTGACAAACTATTTACAAGATAATGCAGTTTTTCTCTAGAAATTTTTTGTAAAAGAGTTTGGTCTTCTTATCTCTTATCTTCATAGTTATACAAGAGTACAAGACGGTCAAGACGTATAAACTATAAGGTTTATAATTTCAAACATAGTCTACTGATTGTAATTTAATAATTCACTATTTACACTTGCATGATAGATGAATAAAAGTATAACAATTAATAAATATCATGTAATCTATTTTTATATTTTTTTTTTATTTAGTATTAATATACTATTAAAAATAATGTAATTTGATAATCAAAAATGTATAACTCACTTTTTATTATAAAATATAGAACTGTAATATATCTAATAGCAGTTTTCATATTATTAATATTTGTTCCATATAAATTTAACTGTTAGAGTTTGTCATTGAACATAAACTATACAATAACAAAATAATAATTTACCAGATATAGCTGAATCCAACTGTACTTAAGCTAATTGAATAATTTCTCAATTCAGGGGCACCAAGGTTAATTCCAAATTATGATGCGAAATAATAAGCTTTATATAGCCATTTAGCACCAATATTTTAATTTATAGTTATGGTTTTCCTATTAATTTTGACAATATGTATTTATAATGTATTCATTAATGCATAGATAAAACCTTTGTATAATTGACAAGAACTTTTCATAACCATGAAAATAAGTAAATAATATAAAAATAAAAATAAATTATAAATAGTTAATATTTTTTATTACCTAAATATTATAATAATTTTGCAATTATTTAATATTATTTAAATACAATTAATATTTGAAACATTAAGATAACAATACATGTTGGTAAAAAATAATCACCAACATTTTCTCTTCCAATAAAAATATATTATATACGAATAATTAATTGGAATACAATTATTTTGTTTTTATTTCAATGTCATAAAATAAATTATATTTATAAAAATTCCAATAAATAATATAAACAAATTTATAGCAGTATTAACATGGTATGGGTGTTATGAGTGTATTTGTAAATTATAAATGATAATAAATATTATGTATAATATTCTTTTAGCTTTTTTACGTATATTATATACATTATATCTATACTAGCTATCGAAAAATTGGTCAAAAATTAAAAATAAGCTGTTAATACAAGCTTATGGATACTACCACTATCCATCCAAAACATTAAGTTCACTAATTATTTTCTTATAACAAATTATTTATTATTTATATGTTATATAAGCGTTTTAAATTAATGTAAAATTAGTTACCTACAAGCTACAGGGTAGTATAAGTATTATAAGAACAATAATCTTAAATAATAATCATTAACAATTAATAGTTACTTTACACAAAATAAATGTAAGTGCTTAATTAAAATGTTTATGAAACATGTTTCGAACAGAACTTTAAATTATGTCTAATTATTAGAAATGTATCAGCTCTAAAACTTAAAAACTATATAAAAGCTATTATTAATATTAAATTTTATTTTTTGTACAGTCATTTTGTTATGATTATTTAACTTTTAAGTTAATAACTTAATAAACCTCATATAATAACTACAATGATTAATTTAGGTATGATCGATTAATCATATAATTATACAAAATTTATCTATTTTTAAATGAACATTTTCTATTTAATTTAAATAGAAATAATGTATTCAATGCTAGAGACATTATATTATATTAATATATAGTAAAATAAACTTAATATAGTTATAGAGCTAACATTCTTCAGTATGTTAATAACACAGGGCATGCCACACCATAACTTTGATATCTAAACATTACTTATAAATTAAAATCAAATTCAATTAATATAAAAAACTTCATAAAAACATTACAACCATTCAAATCTTATTTTAAATCTTGCTTCCTAACTAGATAACCCTTATTTTTGTCTCAAAAGAAATTTATCTTATAATTTTCTTTCAATATACTTAAAAAAATATAATAATAAAATAAAATTTTAAGTTCATCTCTGAAGTAGTTTTACTAGATGCGCCTTTTAATCACTTTACTATTACCAATTTCTAGTTGTTGTTTTACAACAAATGTCTTTATTCTATTTAAAATACAGTTTGTAAATATTTTCTATATTGAAATATAAAAGATAATACTTTAAAATGAAAAAAAAAATGTGTTGTTTGGTCTTAACTATTAAATATGTATAGGGCATAGGGGTTACGGGTTTTAACTAGTTTTAAAATGGTATTCATTAGAGATGACACTAAAGACATAATATATAAAAAATATACTTAAGGTATTCTATAATACTTGAGGATTTGGAATATAAAGTCACACTTTCTATACAGTCAAGGCAATATAAAATGATTAAGTTAAGGATAAATGTCAGTGAATGAATAATAACTGTTTACTATGTACCTATAACATACTATAACCACATACTTTAATTACTATAAAATATATCATTACATAAATGTTATATTAATTGTTGGGGTTTATATTTTATAAAAGCAACAGTGAAGATGATTTTCGAAATGTTTCAATAATATGAAATTAATTAAAATACGGAGTAACAATATAATAACTTATTAATTTGATTAGGTATGTAAATTTTAATTTTGAGGTTAAAAGGTATTTATTCGGCCAATCGTTAAAATTAAATATTAAAGTTTAATAGATATTTCGATAAAAGTATGTTGAAACTTTCCAAACGAGGGGCGGACATTGCCACATTGGTATCTGTATTCTATAAACTTATAACCGCAGTTATGCGGAATGGTTACAAGACATTTCTACCTAGCTTGTAAACAGAACCAAAGATCATGTCCTACCAAACCAGGTCAATGGATAAACCACAAAGCGGCAATTTGAGTTAAATTCAAAAACTGATATTAATTAAACGTTGAAGAAAAGAGAAAATCCAGTATTAAATGTTAATCAAAAAAATAAATATTATAAACAAACGTAATTTTAGATAAACTCACCTTTATTGTTTTTTAACCGTAAACTCTGTATCCGAGTATCGATCAAATAATACGATAGTTATGAAATGAAAAAAAAAATATTGAAGTTAATTGATCTTCTAAGAATATTGTTAACAAATTTTAAACTAAAAGTATTTTAAAGTTTAATATTTTTATCGCCGGTTACACTTACTAGATGAAAAGTAAATAATAAAATTTAATAATTCGAAAAAGTGGTTATCACTGAAAGATTATTACATTATTATGTATTAACAGTACACAGGTCATGTTCAGCCATTTTTACAGGCATGGGGCATGGTTACACATATAATTTAAAACATGGTTGCCAATAACTGCTAACCATTTATAAGATCTCTTTGACCATCACTCAAATCCCGCAAATCCTGCTTCCCGCTAATATAAATAAAATCAAAACTTTGATAACATTTTAAAATTTAAAGATAAAGGAATAATATTTGTAATTTTAATTTGATACTTATTACTTATCTTTTGGTTTAAACTAGTTAATATTTTACATTTGAATATTTGATAACAGTTCAAATTCAAATATACTTATTTCTTCATTTAGTTTTATTTGAATTTTGAACTTTTTAACAAACCCAAATCGGCTAAATCCATAAGGTTATTTATGAAAATATGTCTATTATAGAGGTTTTATTTTACTAATGATTGTTATTTGATATTATTATAATTGATAACCAATAATGTTCAATTTACAATTTTATTTTCTATTTTTATTTTTCATGAAATGGGAAATAACGTTAAGATTTAAATTAAAATATTTATTAATATTAATAACAACTGAATATGAGTAATAATGAATATATTAATTATCAATACATTATTATAATATGAACATTATAAATAAATTGTAATGTACCAAGTCTAAAGTCTTTATTCTTCAGTGTTTACGAGTAAAGAAAATATTTATCAAATTCTTTTAATTTAGGAATTACTATTGTATATTTAATGTTACAACTGTATTATAAATCATGTGAGTATTATTTAACTTTGAATAGATAATAAATAATCTGTTATTATTAATGCTTTAGATATTTAGTACCTATAAAGTAGGTATTTAGTTTAAATTAAATTATTAATTGGAACATTACCTGTATCATTAATTGTTAGTTCATGTTCATACAAATTGCCTGATGAATTGTTATATGAACTTAATCTATAAAAACAAAAATGTATTTTTCATTTTATTGTTGTCTTAAATGTAAATATAAAAATAATATTAATATAGATGAACAAATTCACATTTGTTTAACTTTTCATTTTAAACACAAACTAAACCATGACCAGAACGATATAATTCCATTTTAATTTTAAATCGATAGATTAGTTTTTTATTTCAGCAAAGTATTTCATGAATTCATGATTCCATAATTTTACACAGTTTGAATTTACCATTACTGTATTTTAATTTTATTAGTTAAGATAAAAATTGACTAAAAAATTCAATGATAGGTTATATCACTAAGAATTAGGGAAGTATCTTCCTCAATCTCATAAATTCTCATTTTTTATAATGGCAATTATATAAGCTAATCAATATTGTCTTATTATTTATTAATAAAGTTATATTAATCTATCAAGTTATTAGGTAGTTATGTAATTTAATTATAAGTTGAACATATTTTTTGATTTGCATTTACTTGGTTAATTGTTAATTGATGTAAGACATTGATTATCAATTTAACTATTAAAATTAAACTAAAATGACAAATGTATAAGTATAATATAGAAAACCCTCAACTATAATTTCAATGAATATATTTTTATTGTTAATAGGATTAATGATACATCAAGTGAAACATATAATGTCAAAAATGATGAAATTGTTTCAATACATAATGCATATAAAAAAGAATTTAGTCGTATCAGTGAAGAACACCAATATAATTTAAATAGTCTAGAAAAATGCTATAAAGAACAAATATTAAGTATAATTAAAGAAAAGGATTCAATATCTCTTCAATTACTATCAATTTTTCAATCTTTATATGAGCATTTTCAACACAAATTAAAGAAATTAAGGCCAAAAAGTTCTAAAGTTATTGAACCATTTGATGAGAAAATAAATTTTATCAATGAAACATATCAATGTATCATAAATAGTTATGAAAATAAACAACAAGATTTATTCAAAGAAATTTTAGAATTAAAAAAGGTAAATTGAATAATAATTAATTATTACTTATCTTTCTAAAAAGAATAAACAATATATTTTCAAAGTCTGAATTTATTATTTAATTTAAAATTGTAAGTTATATTTTTAATCATTAATAGTGAATATTGATTTTTTTGTATACTTACTGTTTTAAGTTTAACCATTATCCACTTTCTTAAAATTAAATTTTTCTTTAGATTATCATGGAAGAAAAGAAGAAAAATTTAAATATTTCATCAATTCATTTGATAGAAAAAGAAAATTCTATTTTAAAGCAACATTTGAATTCCAACAATTTGAAAAGAAACTACAGGTCAGAGTTAACAGCAGGAATTTTTATATGGTGCTTAGGTGTGTTATTTTACCAAAAAAAGGTAATTTAACTGGAATTTATATAAAAATTGTGATAATATGATCTATTAAATATATATCAAAAACGTTTATTGTAATCAAAGACATATTTAACTTTATATTCATTTAAGGATACAATGTCTATAATATTGGTTTTCCTTTACAGTGATAAATCTGTAAACAAATGTATATTGCACAGAAATAAATTTTTACTTAGGTAAAAATCAAAAGATGTCATCATTTATTTTGATTTGCTTGACTATTAAGAATTATCGATTATCAATATTGTGAAAAATAATTTGTAGTTTATGACATCATTACAACTCATAGTTAGAAACATAAACTATAAAGAATATATCAATAATCCTATTTAAAATTTTATAATTTTTAATAAAGTTATATTATTAAAATTCTCCACAATATTTACATTTAGTAAATTATTCAATTAAAATTAAAAAAAAAAAAAAATTGTTTTTATATTTTAGGACAAGATACTAAAAGAACATCCAAAAATAGTGCATTTACTTGAATTTGTTTTGGTTATTACTATAACCTGGCATTTGGGGAAATTTGAAGATCGTGGATTAGCCTTACTAAATATAGTTATTTGTGGAATTGTATGTTGTATCTTAAGTTTGATATAGAACATCACTTTTTACATATTGTATAAATATTTACCCTAAAATAATTGTTTAATTCTATTGAATATTTATGCGTGTTAAAATTATAGTTCTTATATGTTATTTATTATTATATATTTTTATTAATCCTGTGTACCTCAAAATGTTAATTGAATAGTAATAAAATATGTATGAAACATATAAATTTGTTTGTAAAATGATTCCAAAAATAAAATTTTATGTACTGAATGGTCGATCAGTTTTTAATTAGTTCTCCAGTTCATTCAAAATATTTTAAAAATTCATAACCCATTAATATACTGTTTAAATGAATAAATATTGAATTTTAATGCAAGTATTCAAAAATAATTAATAGTCACTTGTAAATACCTTTAATAGAATTTGTAGCGTTATTATATTATCATCATAGACATTTAAGTACTTCTCAATCCAATAACTAGTTAAAGGATTATTTCAAAGATGACATAAATTAAATACCTATCAGTAAATATGCAAGCATTTAAGCATAAAAATCAAAGTAAATATATGTATATATATTTTTTAGAGATTTAAACTTCAAATAAAACAATTCAGTAAATATTTTAATTAAGTTAACCTAACATAAGTCATACTAACATTTGTAGAAAATAATTTTGTTCAACAAATAAATAAGTTTTATACTTGTACCTAACCTTTTAATTGTAAATCTAAAAAGTCCTTCGTGAATATTTACAATATTTATATTAAACTTAAGTATTTTTGATAAAAAATAATACTTAAATAATAAAAAGTAAAATATAAATATTTGGTTAAATATTTTTTAATTAATTATCTGCAAAACTGTAAGGGACTTAGAAAAAACATTAGTGTTTTCATTGATATAAAGCTAATTTTCAAAGAACAATATTGTTTAATACTGTTCTGTATTGGACAATAATAATCTAAGTAATAATAGTGATGCCAACAATACTTTTTTTTAATGACAAAACGATTTTACAAACAAAAAATATTTGGAGCAGGACTAAATTTGTTGAATATGGTTGAACAACAATGACATTTAATTATCTATACAAGTGGTTCCTTGTAAACTAATTTGAACCAATGTCCACAGAAGCAACGTTTTGGCTCGCCAGAGTGTAACCACATCCACTTAACATGTGATGAATCTTCTTCACATACACAACCAACAATTCTAGCTTCAAAGGCAGATGGAATTTCATTTGGTTTTTCTTTGGTCCCCACACCTCGTTTAATAGATTTTAAATTGTATGGGTCCTACAGTAAAAAACAAAAATTTTTGATTATTTTTTTTGTTAATTTATTATTTTTTTTTCAATAATATAATCAATATGTATAAACAATAAAAATATGCATTGCAGCAGTTGCTGAGTTACTTATCATGACTATAATTTACTTATAATTAAAACCCATTAATAGCTTATTAAAGTATTCATTTCTGAATTTTTTAATTGAATAAATTGATTAAAAAAAAAAAAATCAAAACATTTGAAATAATTTAAAAAATGCATAATTTGATTAATAATAATATTAACTTTGTAAACAATAATAAAACTTACATCATTTCCAGCTAGACGCAAAAGCATTTCTTTTTTTTCAATACCCGTAGCTAAATCCAATGGATCAGGAAATCCTAAAAATAAAATAATATTAGGATTATTCAATTTTCTTTAAATAAAAACTATTCTAAAGTCATATTTAATAGCAATATTTATTTAAAAAATGTATTCATTATAATAAATCAAATTTTTTAAATTTTCACCTTAAAAAGTTACATAAGATAATATGTTGCATGATTGTATGAGTTACAATGTAAGTTTTAATTTTTATCAATTATTATATTGATATTAAAACATATCCATTGAGGTTAAATCCTAAACACCTAAATTCAACATAACTAAATAATTATAAAAATAAATAGACAAGGAATATAGTAAAACTATTTTATGTATTTCTAAACATTTACAAAGTTTGTTATTTAAAAAACCAATTCACATTATTTTGATACATGTTAAGTTTAAATTAATTTGAGAAAAGAATAATAATGCACAAATGGATAATTATAAATTATTATGGTTAAAAAAATGTTTCTTTACGCAAAACAACTTTAGCAATCTAAAATATTAATAATATTCCAAACATTTATCACTTGGCAAATAAAAAATTTAATAATGAATTTATAATATAAAAAATAGTTATATAAGTTAAGATTTATAATATAATTAAACATAATCATATAAGTAACTATTAGTTTTCAATATAAAATTTAATAAGAAATGACTGTTTTCCCTTATTTCCATGTCATTAAATTTTTTTTTATCAGATATCCAGAATTATAATTTACTTTATTCTACTTGCAAAAGTAGTTTGTAAGTACAATTAAATTATAATTTAATGTTATGATCCACCAAAATTAAGCTTATACCGATCAAGATTTAATAAAAAACTAAGTTTCTTTTCTTAAACTTGAATAATATTCAAAATTCAAAATATAATGGTAATAAAATAGTATTAACATAATTTAATAAGAAATAATAAAAATTAACCTATTACAATAGGTAATCAAACATTTAAAAACTTATACTCATACTATTTGAGCTATTCAATATGTTTGATGATGCAGAGTATGAGATCTCATTCCAAAAATAAAGTTTTAATAATAATGAGCACCTAACTTATAACATTGAAACTTTATAATAAATTGAATATAACATATTGAACATGTATATAGTATTAATATTAAACTTTTGTATACACCTGTAATCACGTGAAACACAATCAATGATTTGGTATTCAAATATTTAAATAACTAAAAGAAAGATCATCATTTTGATTAGATATTTCACTAGATTTTTATTATTTTATATTTTCCAATACTAAATTTAACAATCTTTAACATTCAATTCATCAAATTAATAATAAAAAAATAAAAAACTTGTGTATTTGTTCATCTTAATGTAAATTATTTTGATAAAAACCAATATTTAGATAAGTTAATCAAATATGAATTATATTAAATAAAAATCGAATATAACCAGTCAAAACAAGTTTTACTTGATAATATAGAAATACTTAGATTTAGATACCAATAGTTATTAAAAAATAAATAGTATAGATAATATTAATGATACTATACAAATAATTATTAAGTATCTACCTATTTACAATTTAAAATTAATGAAGAATACGTTTATTTATCGTCTATGAAATAGAAGAGATACTTAATAGTAGCTATCTGGTCTTTCTTTATAGGTACTAGTAATTGATTGTCACAATATTTTGGAATGATCATTATTAAATTTTGTAGATTAGAATATGTGGTTGTAATAGCAATAGCACTAATGACTATTGCCATTAGAATGGACCTACTGAAAATTAAAAAAATAAGGAACACAACTTACCTTCATCCTTGCTTGAGTTTAACCTCGCAGCCGAGGTTGTGAACATTCGCGGTGAACTTCGGAAAGCGAGCTTCGAACCAAGAACTATTAATCTTGAATTCATTTCTATGTATTTAGGATTTTGTTTTGAGTAACAAACTTAACTCCTACGGTCGAGATGGTAGTTGACAAATTTATCCCCCAGAGTCCGGGTAAGTAGTCTGTGTGATGAGCGGTTAACAGAAAAGAAAATTTACTCGGGTTGTCATGACGGGGTTAAACACATGATTATAGAAGGTCAATTTACGCATAGAAAAAGGAGATAGTTACGCCTTACGAGCGCAAACGGATATGTTGGTAATGCCGATAATTTATTTTTTATTGCGCAAAATCACGAATTCCCATTTAATACGTATATCTTTGTCTAAAAATACATTAATTTTGCTAAAAATTAATTTAAAGTATTTATACAAAAAATTGACACTATTCTACTATAGACGATCGTTTTTAATAATCTTATGTAAAAATAATCAATTACAATTATGCGTTTAAGAAAATCTTAAAAAAACGTAAAACAATTATATCACAACCCTGGTGATCGATTTTCATGAGTTTGCAAGCCTGTAAGAGGGACTGTTGTTAGGCTATCTCGATTCTCGACACTGCCGTCGTCTCTCTCCTTTTTCATCGAACGTGCATGTAATGGCTTGAGAGTTCGGATTTTCTCTTTGATTTGTTGTGTAGTACTTTCGATCCTTTCATAGCGTTACGCGTTTTTCAAGGTATGTATTTTCGTGAATCTAAACTTATTTCTTTTATTCGAATTAGTTTTGAAATTCAGTTGTTTAATCGTTTCGGGATTAGTTATCGTCCGCTGTGTGCATGTACCGGGATTGAAGTATTGTTACTTTAGAGAAATTGCATCAGTTTTTATAAAAATTTTGGTTTCTATACTCGTTTTCGTTATAAAATGCCATAAAATCTGCGAATTTATTCATTAGCGTTTCTTTTGTTTTATAAATATCGGTGAAATTTAACGTGATTTAGGTTATAAGTTATAACTAACGTGTAGCGTGTATTTACACAATACTTAGGTTAAGTGATAGCAGTTGTCTGATAACGAAAATAAAAAACTTACTAGAGATTGTTAATATAAATAATAATTTTTTTAAAATTTTATTTGATATACTAATTATAAATATTAGTTAATGTACCTATTTTTAATTTAATATAAAAAATGTAACGTTTTGTATACTAATAATTGTTTATCTATTTATTTCGTAAAGTCCATCTACTTGAAATAATGAACTTAAATTTATTTTTATTATTTATGTGTAGATGCCTATTCCGACTCAAGCTAAAATTGTTAAAAAGGGCAGTGCTGGCCCTGATCAATTCGAGTTATCCATTGCCCAAGCTCTTTTGGAATTGGAAAACAATAGTGACTTGAAAGCCCAACTCCGCGAATTGTACATTACAAAAGCTAAGGAAATTGAACTCTTAGGCAAAAAGGTAAGCATTATTGATCTAAAAATTATAGTTAGGACAGGTTTCTACTTAAAAGCGTAAACATCAAACGTATATATTGTATCTAAATATTATATGTTTACATCTAATTCCATGTGAATTTCCACCAAATGTGGTTTATTTTTTATTTTTTGTATAACTACTATTTAAAATTAAAGAAAAACAGAAAACTTAATCACATAATAATTAATAAAAATTAACATGTTCTTTTTTTTTGAAGAGGTCTTTGATTATACTATAATCTTAACGGGTTCCATGTCTCAAAAGTTCTTTATGTATTTATAACATAAAAATATTAATTTATGTTTTCATTTTTACTTTAATTGTTATACATTTCAATATTCTTTACATTCTAAATATTATTTATATTTGTATATTTTAGAGTATAATTATTTATGTGCCAATGCCACAAAGATCACAATTCCAAAAAATTCAAGCTCGTCTTGTTAGAGAATTGGAAAAGAAATTCAGTGGTAAGCATGTTGTTTTCATTGGTGACCGGAAAATTTTGCCTAAGCCAACAAGGAAAACCCGCACCCAAAACAAACAAAAACGCCCCAGAAGGTATATAATTTTAATTAATACATTTTCAGTATTTAATACTAAGTTATATTTTGTTGGACTAACCTTTGTTGAATAAGTTGTAATAAGTTACTTGTAAATTGTAAAATAACAAGCATCTGTTTTTCTTGTTATTTTAATAATTGATTTAAGAATTTTTAATCACATTTTTTTAGCGTATTGTTTAAAAGTAAACTTATTTAAAATTTAAAACTATCTAATTTTTAAAAGATAATTTGTCCAATATTTTTTTTTAAAGTTTTGTATTTTAAATTAATAATTGATAATGATTATCTATTTAGCCGCCGTACATTAACGTGGGTCTATGATGCTATTTTGGATGATTTGGTGTTCCCTGCTGAAATTGTTGGCAAACGTATTCGTGTGAAGTTAGATGGTAAACAAGTCATGAAAGTACATTTGGACAAAACTCAGCAAACAAACATTGAACATAAGGTAATTTCTTATTTTAAGTTCATAAATGACTGTATATTATGTTTAGCAAATATATTTCAACTTCCAAACCATCAATATGAGCCAATATTTGTTTAATTTAAAATTATTATTTTGTTATTATTTTTAGTGTATAATTGTACCTATATTAAATATAATAATATTTCTTAATGTTTTATCAATTGGTTAATTTTAGATTCTGAGTATTGATTTGTACTATTAACTTAATTTATTTTTTTAAGAGTGTATATGTACACAGTAAGTAATTGAAAAAATTCTTCAAGGATAGTTTTAAATTGTGAATTAAATCCAATATATACTTAAAGGTGGTAAAAATTAAAAGATTTCAGTAGTTTTCAAAATAATTAGGGAGAAAGAATTAAGGAGATAGAAATTTATATGCAAATCCAGTTTTGAAAAAATCAATTTTTTTTTCATTTTTAGTGTTACTTGAAAACTAATAACTGTAGATATTTGAAGTTTTCATTAAATATTTGTATATTCATTATCTATACATAATTCAAAACATGTTTTGACTAAGTTACTCGCAAGCTTTTCATTTTTTGGTTTTTTTTTTTTTATAATAAAAAATTTGCTAGATTTGAAAATTTAATTCAGAAGCCTATAGTTTTTTCATTTACCGATTGAGAAATATCAAAAATTTACTATCAATATATTTTATAATTTTTTTAAAATAGAACTTCTACAAAATTCTTACAATCTCTAAAATTGTCAAATTGTCTTTTAGTTAATATTACATTATAATTTTTCTTTTTATCTAAGATAAATAAGTTTCTTTATATGTTTTTCAACTTAAAATAAAATAATTTATACAGAAAGTCAAATTAATTTTATGACTATTTGAAAATTAAAAGATAGCTCTTTATGATATTGCTTATTCATCACCCATTAAATAATTATTTATTTTAAGATTAATTGATATTTTCTTATAATTAAAAAAAAAAAATTACTGTAAACATTTAAAATTTTTACTTTATTATCATTTCATTTACATCAAAATATTTCAAATGATATACCCATAGATATTTTGTTTTTTTTTTTTTTTTCAAAAATCCTAAAAATGTAATATGAAGTCCTACATAAAAGTTTTTTATAAGTATTATGTAAAAATAATTGAAGTACATATGCAACATTTATTTTATAAGAATTAAAAGCTCAAATTTTAACAAAATTACATGTTTAAACTTACAACAATGATATTTATTATTTTGTTGAAATTGAAATACATTATGGGTATTTAGAACATGTATGTAAATATATTTATATTTTATACGCATTATAAAATAGTAGTATATATATAGTTTTATATCTAATGTTTTCTGCAAAGTTTATTTCAATCTACTATTATAAATAATAAAACAATTTATTTAACCTAATACTAATATTAAAAAACTACATAAAAATAAATATGCTTGATATTATGAGTTAATAGACCATATTTACTCAGAATAATTTTTATATATAATTAGGTATCATTGAATTTAAATTTTATATGTTTATCACAATGACTCATTCGACAATCTACTATACAGCAGATCAATATCCACTTGCTCTGTTTTTTGCATTTTTTTAATTTATGAAGTATAATTTAGTAATGCAATGAATTCTAAATGTTAATATTTATAACTATTAATTACTTTATGACTAGGAGTAAGCCTGGAACCATAGTTAAATTGTCTGGCAGAGTTTTTCAGTTTTTGCTGTGCTCAGTTTACTATGATAGTTGTGTTAAACTTTTCTTTGAAATTGATCAGCAATAATACTTGTCATAGTATTAAAATAAGAAAACTTATAAACCAGTATGAAAATTAGTTAGCACAATTGTGTTAAAAGCATCTATTGAAACTTTGTCAAATACTATAATATTGTTTTTTCAGAATAATATTATAATCTAAATGTTTTTTGTTTGTTACAGGTGGATACTTTTGCTTCTGTGTACAGAAAGCTGACTGGTAGGGAAGTGACTTTCGAATTTCCTGAACCATATTTATAAATCCTTATTTTTATCTAATAAAAACATGATTTTATGACTTAATATTATTATTGTTATTGTTTTAATCCTGACAGCTAAATTATATAATATAAATAAGTGAATTAGTTTTTGTAATTAAATTGAAATTGGTTGCAGTTAATTATTTATTTGTATTTAGAATTTAAATATATAATAATCGCACAGTAAAAATAGTCTGAGAAACTTACTGCACCTTCTCATTAATAAGGTTATTTAATAGATATTGATTTTGATACTTCAATTTATTCTGAATCCTTTATAGATTCTGAATAAAAACAGTATATTAGCATCCATTTTACCAAAAAAAATATTACAAGTTTGGCTGACATAGATTTAACTTAATTTGTTTTTTTTAAAGCCTTTTATGCCTTAATCATAATTTTATATTGACATGGTTACAAAATAATTTATTAATTTACAGTAAGAATTTAAAGTTCAGAGAAAAACGGTGTATTAAAAAACAATTTTATATTTTTTCTTTTAAATATTACCCAAATTGTAAATTATTAAATGATTGTGCAACAAATTTTCTCAGAGTTATATAAACCCATTTAGACTCTTAGTTGCCAAAACTGTTTTTTCTATTGCTCTCTACAAACATCTATTCAAAGTCCACTCCTATTTCTTCTAGTAGTTCTCTGATGCTTTCCTTTCATCTACAGTTTTTCCCTTATATCTGTCAGTATTTCTACCAGTCCGCTATCTATAGCTTACCTATCATATTCCTAAGCACTGGTTTTAATTTCCCATTTGTGTTCTATATTGTTGAACATGAACCCATACATTTTCCTTATCTCACTGACTGCATTCTGCATTAGCTATTATCTTTGTCAAGATAGTGTTTCAGTTTTCCATATCTTTCTTACACATTGAAAATAGATATCTCATTTTTCACCATTTTCGACTATTCTGGTATTTGTGTTTTATAGTTATATTATGTTGACCTGTTAAGTTAGTTAACCAAAGCCTTTGAGAAATTTTCAGTCTTTATATATTATATTATAGTAGACTTATTTGTAATTTTTAAATAATATATATAGACTGTGAAGTCGTTTTTTCTACGATTTAACTTATTGTAAATATCTAATCTGTGGTCCATTTGTTTTTTTGTGAATTTTGCAATTAAGGAATTACTTAATACTTCACACATATAAACATATTTATATTTTTTAAGATTAATGATAGTACCTTAAATCCAATGTTCAGCAGTTATTCTTCAATAATTTTAAACATTTTTTTGAAAATTGGGTATATCAGATTCATTCCAATCTTGTGGTGTTTTCTTTTATCCATATCTGTTTAAGATTTCAAGGGATAGTTTATTTTTTGAAAATATCAGTTAATTAATTAGAGTACCACCATTTTTATTTTCTATCATTTGTATTGAAGATTAACTAATAATTTTTTGATCGCTAATGTTAGAAAAACTCTAGAGTTATTTTAAGTGATTGTTCAACATACATTTTTTAAACAACAAACCATTTTATATTAGCTAGCTCAATTTTTCACGCTATTCAGTAAAAAATTTTAAAACTTAAATTTTGATAAAAATATAGTTTTTATGGTTATTCTTTAATATTATAAACAATTAAAAAACAATGACTTTATTGAAAACTGATTCTCGGTAAATATTTTAATTCTTCAAATAGTAACTAGTAAGTAAATTAGTGTGAACTTGCTACTAGAAAACACTCAAAAACATTAAAAAATTGTTAACTTAAAATAATACAAGGAAGAACATGAGAAGTTGAATACTTGGATTTCTATTTAAAGTTGTGTATTATATCAATATGTCTGAGTAAATTAGAATTATAATTGTTAAAATATTGAATATTTATGTTGGATTTAAATACAACTCTTTTTTTATTCCAGCTGTCTTCATATCAAGAGTTAAGATACATGAAAACAATTTTCAATTTAAAAATTATAAAAAGCCTAGGCATTATCAAAACCTAAAACTTTATAAACTTTTTCATTATTTTCAAAATGTAATAAATCAGAACTTATAGTTTAAAATAATGGTTTTGATAAGAATACAAATTAATAAGTATAAATGCAATACACTAGCCTGTATTTACAAAAATTGCCGCTTCTCTCCCTAAAAAAAATTAATTTTATTGATATTACACAATTGTTTCTTTATTTTCTGTACTTTACAAAAGACTAGAAATTGGTTGTAAGTAGTAAATAGTTAAATAAAATATAACTCAGTTATAACAAATATATTATTTAAAATATCAAAAAAACTTAAAAATAAAAATGTTCAATAAATTTATAATTTCAAAACATTTTGACCATTTCAATGTTTTGCCACCTCTAAACATAATTTTAATATTGCTTCCAAGGGAAATTGTCCCTTTGAGCCCTTCCTTAAATACAGGTCTGGTAATATAGTAACAAAATATTTTAGTTCAATAACATAGTAATGATAAAGTAATCTTTCTATTAAAATGTTGATATACATAACAATATCATACATAGAATACAACAATTTACCAACAAACTTTTCTTTAATAATAAAAGTAATAATTACAATATGTAGGTTTTAAAATTAAAATGAGTCTTATATAATTGATCTACTCCCACAAAAAATAAATATGGAATGAATGTCTAAATGTAATATAAAAAATATTTACAAGTATAAAGTGGAACCTTACCAAACACATTATGGTAATACATTTCTTACCATTGTTGAGTTTTAAATGTTTCAGACATGATAACAAAATCTTAAAATAAAATGAAAATATACTGCCTATATAAATTATATGTCTATTTTTACATATTCAGCAAATTCCTATTATTTTTTCAGTTTTTTATATCATTTTTTGAATACATATATAACATTGTTAAAGAATATAACAAATATATAATTAATATCAATATTTTTAACTATCACTGTTTATCAATGTTGGATTTATCACAGTCCACCAATGGATGTGGTAAAGGTATCGGGTTGCCATGAACATCAGTAATTGGAGTTGATAATTTAGGTTTCATTTGTTCAGAAACTGAATTTGATGGTGCTAGATCAGAACTTGGAGGATTGGGAGTACCTTGTACCTTAGACACTATTGGATGATTATCAGGTCTGCGTGTCTTAAAAGCACTCAGAGGTACATATCCCTGTTTCCCATCAAAATTATCAACAAGAAGCCATCCCGTTTGTTTAGCTAATGCTAAATGATCTTGAGATGTCAAATAAGACTTTCCTTTAACCAAAGTTATAGTTTTTGGATCTCTATTATTCCAATCATATTGTGCAATACCAACTGTCACTGTAAAAAATGATAAACAGAATGAACATTGATAATAATTATTAGAAGTTAGTCTGAATAAACATAGACAGTACTCAGTAAAAATTTAAGAGAGCAGAAAGTAATAAATTGACAACAGTTTGTGACCTTCACCCTAAAAATTTTTATTTATTAGTTTATATTAATTTAATTTTATATGTGCTATTTTAACAATTTAATCATATGCTATTACATTTTAAATTTTTTCACAAATTATAAAATAATCTAGGATTTTATTAAATGTATATAATTTAAACCAGCATTTCTCAAACTGTGGGTCGCGGCCCACTGGTGGGTCATCGGTCAATTGTTAGTGAGTCGCGAACAATTTTTTAAATTATACAGATTCCAAGAAATGTATGTTAAATTAATATTAAATATATCATTCATTATTAATAAAAGTACATTTGTAAAAATACATTGATTATAAACCTATAGAATAATAAAAATAATAATTTAAACCTAATAAACAAATTTTGTTAAAAAAATTGAAATATATTATATTATATTATTTTAAATTAAAATTTTTTTTTTATTTAACTACTTTTTGAAAAGTGAAACCTTGTGGGCTACTAAAGATTTTTCTGTGGAAATTTAGGTCACGGTACTAAAAAGATTGAGAACCGCTGGTCTAATCTAAAATTAAATGTTATGATTTTTATAATAATATAATTATTTATTTTGTTTTGCAATTGTTGAGCTATCATAATTTTAATACTGATAGCTATTATTAAGAAAAATAAAATAGAAATTTATTTAATGTGTTTGAAAATGGAATTGAAATCTAATGGTTTTTGCAATTTTGTCATTTACCAACTCTCCTTTACAAAAAAAAAAACAAAATAAAATATATACATAATAAATTATACTTTTGTACCCCTATATTATGCTTCTGAGGAAAACTCTACCTACTACTCCTTAAAATTCTGCCTATGATAAGTATAAAGTATTGACTTTTAGTCATTGTACAGAATGAAAGTCCAACTAACTGTTTGAAGGTAGAGTGTTGATGGCAGCACTAGAGTTAGCTGAGTTAGGTACTGGTGTAACTGAGTTGAGTAATTTGTATACAAAATATGGTGTAGCGACTAGAAGCCCAGAAAAAACTACTAATGGCCAAGATCGTCCATCAGAAGGAATTATTTGTCTATTATCTGTAGATGATAAAGCTGACCACAAATCTTCTTCAGCACTTGATCCTCTATCTCCTCTTACCATTCCTAAGTAAAATATTAAGAAAACATTATTCATAAGTTTTTAATCATAATTCATAGATTATAATTTACTTACTTAGAAGATAAAAAATTTTTGTCAAAAACCAACGAGCTAGTTTGAATGTTATAATAGTTGAATACAACTTCGTCATAAACATTTTTAGACGAGTAAAATTCTCAGCTACACCTAACAATGCTTGAAAAGACATATGCATCGCAGCAAATGTAGATTCTAACATCATACTGACTGAGTTAAATGATTGAACAACAGCCTGTATAGATTCAAAAGCTGGACGAGAACTTTCAGCTGCTGCAATAACAATTCTATAAGAAAACAAAATATACATTTAGGTATTAACATCAATACAAATAATACAGCCTATCATAAATATATAAATTGTCCATTTAGCTGTATCAAAATAGAATTGTTTTTGTATAAACTAGATATATTATTACAGATATTGTAGGTATATATTGCTTAATATGATTTACAACTATAAATTTGTTTTATATTTATTAGTAATAAAACTATTGATAGTTATATTAAACAATAACAGAGATAAATAATATATAGTATATATTTAGTGAACTAGAACATGCAAAATAATTTTATTTTTATTAGTGCCTATAAAATATTTAAAATAATTAAACTTAGATAAATAATATTCGTTTTAACAGAATATAATGTAATTAAACAAAATGTAATGAAGTATAATTAAAAAGTAAGGTCTTTTGGAATATATATCATTTATATCAAATAAATTAAAATTCCTTAACCCATTGTCATTATATTTTTGGGATATATGATTAAGGGGATTCTTATGTCTGTCTAAGAGGTACGATAGAACGGAATAGAGAATGTGACTAACATCGAGGAACATGAAAATGTAATGATCATAATAACTATAAGTAAAAATTATCAAGCTATTTACAAGTTTGGACAAAATTAAAAAAAAAAAAAAAAAATGAATTAATAGATAATTGAATAGATAATAATGTACAAAATATTGAGAAAATCATGCAATGAATAGATAAACAATACAGTCGAACTTGGTTAACTCAAAGTTGAAAAGACCGGGAGTAAAACCTTTGCTGTTGATTGCAGCATTTGTAGTAATCGTTCTATTTTATTCAAAGCTTCGAAAAGTTCATCACTGACCTCTCCTTTGTTTTCGATAAATCGCCTTAATTCATTAATATGCATCCGTGCTTGTATACTCGTGGGAATGGGGGGTTCGATACACTTTTGTTCCTCTTCTTCATCCGATGATTGAGTACATCTTACAGTTAATTGTATAATGTCTAAATCTGATAAATGTCCGCATATTTCCAAGTCGTTATCCATGTTGATGTAATCATCAAAATTAATATTTACACCTTGCCTCACATCGTCCTATACATTTATTGTAATCGTTTGTTGAATTTCTTCATCACCGACATTTTCTGAATTTCAACTTAAAAAACCAGCTTTACAGAAACAGTTTACAATGGTTTCTGATGTTACTTGTTCCCAGGCATTTTTGGACATTCGATTTGCTTGTAAAATATCAATTTTACCACCATCCTGTAGCCAGTTCTGTACTAGTAGAGTACGGTAATGGTGCTTGAAATTTTTAATAATTCTTTGGTCCATTGGCTGAACCACAGATGTCATATTGGGAGGAAAAAACACAACTTCGAGATTTCCCATTGTAGGAATGTAGTTATGCGCAGTGCAATTGTCAATAAACAACATCGCCTTTTTGTTTTTTTTACAAAATATTTTATCAATTTTCAGTAGCCAATTTTTAAAAGTTTCACCTGTTATCCAAGCTATTTTATTCACTTGATATTCAACTGATTTTGATTTTACATTTTTAAAGCACTTAGAATTTGATGATTTTCCTATCATCAACAATGGCAATTTTTCTGACCTGTCCATGTTAACTCCGACTAACAGTGTTACGCGTTCTTTACTTTGTGTGCCACTACTGCACCGTTCACTTTTAAAAGCTAGTGTTTTGTCTGGGGTATACCTGTAAAATTCGTCTGCATTTAAATGTCTTTGGGATTTTTGCTTTTTATCATTTGTAACAATTTTATTTTCCAATCACCAGCTTCTTGAATATTTACATCACCACTTTCACCACTTACGATTTTAAAACAAATTCCATTTTTTTCTTTGAAACCATTGAGCCATCTATTGCTTACCTTAAAATTAATTTTTCCTAATTTTAATGTGAATTCTTCAACTTTTGCTCTTATCAATAGCCCACTAAGGGGTATTTTTTTGTCACGTGTCTGTTTAAACCATTTGTAAATGCACTCATCTACATCAGGATTTTCTGGTTCTCTAGCTCTTTTTCTGCTCTTTACACTAGACGTAGCCAACTTATTTAAAATTGTTTCTTTATTTTTAAGATAAGTTGACAAAGTGATAGGTGGAATACCAAATTCTTTAGCTATCAAAGACTTTGTTTTTAATCCATTTTTAACTACCCGTATCACTGCCGCTTTTTCCTCGTATGTTAGTGTTTTTAGCATGCATTTTGATGATGACATTATGAATGATTACGTTGAAACAAACACAGAGCACTGAACACGAAAATCATGCGTCGTCATGAACCAGTCGTCATCGTAAACCGTAGATAAACAACTTATCGGTAACGATAACATTAATGATTAATGAGTAATGACCTTTATAGATAAATGAGGGAAATTTTATACAAATACATATGAATTAATAAAACTCAAAACTTCGAGTTATCCACGAAAATATTCGAGTTAAACAAGATTTTTTTACATTGTTTAAATAGAAAATTCTAGGAACCAGAGAAAAGTTCAAGGTATTGACGATTTCGAGTTAAAGAAGTTCGAGATAACCAAGTTCGACTGTATTTGAAAACATTATGTTTATTTGGTGCTTATGTTCTATAACAAAGCTGAAACAAAATATTTACTCACGGATCTTGGTATTGACCATTTGTTAATTGCCCATATGCACCATAAGGATTGAATCCACCCATGTTCATGCTCGCCATACCCCTATATGGATAGTTATTGTATGGTGCTCCAGCTAGTCCACTGTAAGTATTCATATTAGGGATAGCATATTGTGTTGGCATCGTTCTTCTCTGAATTCTCGGTACATTCGTGTTGAGAGGAGTATTATGAGGTGGAAGTGGTGGTGGAGAAGTTGTGGTAATTGGTGGAGTTGTGGAAATTGGTGGAGCAACTCTGCCCGGATCTACAGCACCAGTCGGTATATTTTGTAACAGATGATTAGACTTATGTACAATATTCTTGCTAAAAAGTAAAAATAAATGAAAACGTCAATATTTTTATTGCATTAACAATGATAATAAAATATACAACTAAAATATACTTACAATTCCTGATCATCGTCGTTCATGATTTTCTGTTTACTTTCTTAGCAGTGATAATCTAAACAACACGAGAAAGCGATTAATTTCAACGACACTACTCGAAGAATAACATAAACATATATAAATTCGGTCGAATACCGTATACAATGCAGTGCCTATGCAGAATGCAGATAATGTAGGTTCAGTACTTCAGTACTCAAGTTTTGATAGAAAATTAGAAAGATCAAAGAAACCGGAGAGCGAACAGTGACAGTAGTGACACAGTGAAATGCAAATATTGTGATAACATTAACAATCAGTGAATAGTCCGTGTCCGCATTATCAGTAATATCAAATATATATCTATATAAATATGAAAAATAATATTCATACTCAAACCGTCGTTACCGCGATGTTTTTAACCGAGTAACTACCAATGGAGATGTCCACTACCCGAATGGCCGAATACCATTTTTTCTTCAATTTGAATCGCCACGAAAGGAATTTTTCTACTTTTCACCAAAACGTAACAAACTTACAAACTTGAAACTTTATATTATTCGTATTTATTAATGTTGTTGTTAGGTATAAGGACCATTATAATAGCCTTGATCTAGTACTTATGTGATCATCATAATTAAGTAAAAAAAATAAAAAGGTATTTATGTGCCTATCAAAAAATGTTGATTTTGAGAAACATTTACAACAGTAGGTATTCAACAATAATAAATATCCAGTCTTGAGGAAACATAATAGAAAAGAACAAATCTTATTAATGAAAAAAAAAAAATGTTTTTTAAATTAAAAATAATAATTAATTATGTCATAACACATAGGGTTTTGAGGAATAGTGCATCTGCATAGGTACTTCTTAAGAAGCTGCATGTTCAAAATTGGAATCGGCACAAATTTGTTGCATAATATTTACAAGTCCTAAACTGTAAGTTGCATCACATTTACAAAATTTAAATGATTGTGTATACTTATAAGTTATAGATATTTTACATATACCTATTTTGCTAATAAATCGAAAAATATTCAATCATAAAATAAATATTATTTTTAAAAAAAGAGCCTTCAAGAACCCTCATCATGTATATTTTGAAATATAATTCATATTATAGAATATAGATTAAAAAATATTTTTACTGTGTAAAGTTTAATAAATAAGTGAAAAAATGTATTTTTATCATTATTAGTTATAACTGGTATAAATATGTAATGCATTTTTTTGCATACGCACACATACATAACTGCGTATGTGGCAATTTTTACTAGTGCATACCTATGTAAAAATATAAATGTTATTGTTTTTAAATTCAGGACAATAAATAATCGGCATACTGTAGTATTCAGCGATAACGTAAACACAAAATATTCTGAATGCTTAACCCTAAATTTTATTCGTGGGTTTTTACTATTTAAAGGATTTAACATTACACTTATTTTTGATAGCTAAATTTTTTTATATTGTTACCCATTTTTTTGAATTTGAATTAAGTTAATTTTTTTAAACAACTTTGACTTATAGTTTTTTCTATTTTAAAAATTGACTTATTGGGAGTTAGTTAAAGTTTCGATTAATGCATGTTGTGTTTATCATATTTTTTAACAGTCTCTCTAAAACTATAGAAAGTTCTATGTGATTTCGTATAATTTTTTTGATAACTTAGATATTGTATCGTAAATACAATATTTTATGAAACTATAAAAATGTAAAATTGTAGATATATATAATATTAAAAAACACGATAAAACATACATGAATTAAAATCTTAACTCACTTTCAATAACATAAGTTTTAAGATAAAAAAAAAAAGTTATATTAATCAAAGTTGTTTAAAAAAGTTAATTATGTTCAGATTATTCCACTTCAAGATCCAAGTGACAAGTGTAATTTATATTTCCAAGTTTGTTTCAATCTAATTCCTTTAATTCTGCATTAGTAAAGCAATTCTACAGAATGGCTATGTATTCATTATTTCAATAATTCGTATATTTCATTATTTTTGAAACGCAATATTTTCTGCTATATTCGCAGATAAAATAAAGTCTTTATTTATAGATTTTAGTAATTTTTACAGTACTATTAATTTTCTATAGTAATCGACCTATTTATTGTTGAGCCAAGTTTATATTTGATCATGGTCCATGACAGATAGGTAACGTAAATAATTATCATGAAATCGTTTTAAATATATTATAAGTTGCTTAAAAAATTATTTTTATATGCACTTATACAATATGAATATAAATAGATTTTAAAAATGTTCACCCGAATTTAGTTCCTGGCTCAGCTACTGCAGATATATACATTATAATAGTATCTTTTGTGCTATACTATTTATTAAGATATTATTGGCAAGAATTATTGAAATAATATAACATTATTTTACTGTTTAAATATCTATCGCACTTAATAGGTACTAGAAAGCTTATCACTACACTAAACAAAAACTTCCCGTGAGGTTACGTCTAATTAACCACAAAATAACGCGTAATAGGTACACACTTTATTATATTCTGTAATACACAGTAAGCGTTCATATGCCGCCGCAACTAAAAATAAAACAAATAATACTAATCAACTATAACACAGATAACGATTTCATGAAAGCTCTTTTATCTCTAACACATTCGTCTGGAAATTACTGCAGAAAATAATTGAAAATTTGCCAACCATCATTATCAGCTTACACTTAAACTCTAATGAATCCTCATAATAGGTATTATTTTGTTAAACTGGAACGCCAACGGTTTAAAAACACACAGAAATGCACTTCTAGCCTTTTATAATAATATATATACCTACTTCAGTGATTGGCAATCCCTTGATGTAACTCTAGACCAGTGGTTTTCAACCTTTTTAACAATGTAGCACACTTCTTCTCTACAAAATTTTTGCGGCACACCAATTCATAAAATACGTGAAACATATATTTTTATATATAATACATATATATATATAAACAAAATTAACTCCATCAATCGATTTATCACGGCACATTTCAAAGGCGCTCGCGGCAAACCAGTGTGCCACGACACACCGGTTGAAAACCACTGCTCTAGACAAACCTGAAACCACCCATATGGCGGTCTCACATTTCATCCAAAGTTCAACAAACTTACCAATGCCTTACTATGCTTTACTCCATTTTGAATAAAAAATCAGCTATACAAATCTATCTCTCCTAATTTATAAGTAAATTTTACTCCTCACCTATGCTCGCCCAATATGGGTTAATTTGCATCTACTCATTTGAGAAAAATACAAATCTTCTAAAACAAGTTTTCCAAGTATTGACCTTCACAAAGACTTCAAAATACTAGAAATACAAGACTACATCAAAATTCTAATTAAAAATGTCCATAGTTCGTTGCTAAACTCAACGGGTTCAATGTACTTTGGTCTATCACTTACACGCACAACCACCTCAATGCCAATTAAAACGGGATCATCCTTGTCACAGGCATTTTTACGGAGGTTATTAGGGAGTTATATCTCTTAATCCCCGCCTTTACCCTCATTAGGTATTTAGGTTATATTTGTGTTTTGTATGGTTGTAGTTATGTTTTTCCCATTTTTAATTTTATTAGTAGGTAATAAAATGCTGGGATGTTTGGGCATTGAGAATTTTAGTTGTATAAATCTCCTCCTCAAAAAAAATCTTAAATACGTTATGATTTTCTATAAGGACACTATTGTCTATTCTGGATAAATCTGGATTTTACTTGAAAATCGAGTTTCGGATTTTGAAATTTGAATTTCATCTAAAATATTGAAATAGTATTTTGTATATTTTGAATAAAAAAGTTTATTAAGTGAGTTAATTCATATTTTTTTTATCAAAAACATTTATTTTTTTTATTAAAATACATAAATTCACATCTTTAAACCAAAAATTCGGATACAGAAACAAGGGTGGGGAGTATAAAGTATAAGCCATATGATCAAAACCAAAATAATAAACTATTCATTAATAAGTATTTACTTATTGTAACTCTAAAGAACAACATTACAAGAAATGTTCAACTACAATAAGAATCATAGCATTTTTATCTATTATGTGTAATTTTAAGATGACGATCCACAATTGTTATTTAAGGGGTTTAATATATACCGTAAACTTATTAATAATATTAATGACAACATTAATTAGTATAAATCGTAAACGACGTGATTAAATACGCTAATTCAAAGTATTAAAAAAATTACACTGTCACTTGTCAGTTAACTAATGGTTGTTGCATAATAACAATATTGTGGTAAAAAGTGGGTTAGGGATAAACTCATAAGTACAATATTTATAGTAGATTTAACTAAAATTTTACATTACATTGAAGAAAGATTATCAGCTGTGTCGTACCGTTTTTTTTTTTTTTTTTTTTTACATAAATATTTATTATTTTGTAATGAGCAAGTGAAAAACATAGTTTGGATTGTCTTTTTAAATTATGACAAAAAAAAAACCTTAACGGCATAGTTAAAATTCTTTTCTATGTATTGTAAAAATTTGGTATTTTTTTTAGTTTTGTCTTATGAATTATGAAATAAGATTTCACAAGTAGTAATTTTAATACTACTCCCCTTCATTTTATAATTTACAATGGTTTTGTACTACCTATGCATATTGATTTATTAATATAAAATAAGAACTAACCACAAGGGGCATGAACTATACGGGTGCTAATTGTAGAAGCTCCCTAAATTTTGTTAATAACCCCACGACAAGATGCAAACTTCGATAATTAATGTGCGACGTGCGTATTTTTAAGTAGACAAGTAGTACCTATTTGTTATTTGTATATACCTGCCTAATTATTATTATATGCGGAACATGGTTAAAATAATTCATATTTACTTTATTTACTTTGTGTTAGATTTTTCAGGTTAAAGTATTTAAAATTTAAAAAAACAAATATTATTTTCCGAAAAGTTATTTTTGTTAATTTGTAAGATTGTACTGATTGTAGGTATTACATTATACACCGACAACTAAGTATATACATGTAATTATGTTAAAATGATATGTGAACTAAAATAGATTATAAATTAGAGATTAAGTCTAGCTGGCAATATTTTAAGCTACATGCCTACATATTTAAGTATATTTACTTCTAAGGCCTTCCTCACAATGCTCTTAAAATTTTTTTGGTGTATTTAAATTTTTAAAAATATTGTTTTTCGAACAAATAATTAATTACTAATTAATACACTTACAACTTTACAAGTATTTGACGTATAGAAGAACGGGATTGAGGGGCACATAGCGGGATGACATTAAGACATTCCTCTAGGTTATTTTCTT